ACAGCTTGTGAGCGAGCGGTTATCAAAACTAAGAAGCTCGCATTGATGCGGTACCATGAGCCTCACTGTGTTCTTCATTCAGTTCTTTTTTTTTTAAAATTTTTTTTTAAAGATTTTTATTTATTTATTTATTTGACAGATAGAGAGCACAAGTAGGCAGAGAGGCAGTCAGAGGGAGAGGGAGAAGCAGACTCCCCGCTGAGCAGGGAGCCCGACGCGGGGCTCGATCCCAGGACTCCAGGATCATGACCTGAGCCGAAGGAAGCCGCTTAACCCACTGAGCCACCCAGGCGCCCCCTTCATTCAGTTCTTATCCCTCCTTCCGCCGGGGTTCTTTTAGGCTCCATGCCCCGATCTTGGTTGCCCTGTGGCCTTCAGGTGTCTCATCTCCTCAGGCCCCTCTGGTCCAGGACAACTCCTCAACCTCTGCTTCTTTGGTGTCCTTGGCACTTTGGGTTACTGAGCAGGTATTTTGTGGGCTGGCCTCCAGTTTGGGCTGCCTGATGCTTTCTCATGTTTTGGGGAGAATGCCCCAGAGGTGCAGTGCCCTTTGTCACACCATACCGTGGTGGAGTCGGCAGGCATCTGCTCTGTGACACGACTTCATCCCGTTGCTGGTTTGCTTCTTTGGAAGTGGTCCTTTGGGCTAGCCCCCTCTTGGGGGGACGGTGGGGGTGAGCTTTAGCTCCTGGGAGGGATTTCACATTATTGTTGGAATTCTTGTGTAGGGCAGACTGTGTTTATGTAATCATTTGTCTGGACTAATATGGGCTCGTGTATTAGTTTTATACTTTGGGTGATAACCTTATATGTTCTTTATTTTGTTGCATAAATTATTCTAGCTTTGGCCATTGGGAGTCTCTCGGGGGGGAGGGGTTTCCTGTGTCCTGGCACACCCCTCCTTCGTTTTGTGAGCACCTCCTTCCTTTCTGGTGCTGCAGAGACATGCCCTAGGATCATCTTGGATTTCCCTGCCCTGGCATCACCCATTTTTCTCAAGGGCCCTGGTTCCATTTCGTGGAGAATGGAATTTAGAAACCACATCAGCGCGCGGGTGTTCTCACTCCTGGGGTGTCGCTGCTTTTCAGCTGTCAACAGCGGGGAGGTGTGTGTGTACACACGTCACCTCTGATGATTTCTGTGCCTGCCTGTGTTGTCACCTACACATCAGTTCATAGGACGTCTCCATGGCTAAGCTGGCACCATAGGGTCGTGCCAGCCTCCTCCTTTTGCCCATGTGTAACCCCGTTCTCTGACGGTGAGACACCTGGCTCGTCCACCATTCATGATGTGGTCTCAGCGCTGTCACCTGCACCCCTGTGCCCTCGAGATACACATTACCAGGAGAGGTCAGCATCTGTGCGGTGCCTGTCCTCAGAAGTCTGACCTTCCATTCAAAACATTGTTCTCCAAAGTTACCTAGGGCAGCAGCCCCCACCCCACTCAGAGAGGCCATTTCAGACTTTTCTAGTACAGTTCTGTACCTTAGCCGGTCTGCATTCATTCCTGGCCCCCAGATGTCCCGGCTGATTTGTTTTTAATTTGCATACGTTAAAGTTCATTCTCCGTGTGAGAGGTGTAGTTGTGTGAGTTTGGACAGTGCATACGTCATGTGTGTCCACCACCTACATCCCCAGCTCTGGACTCTGGCCTCACGGTTTTGTGGTAACGGACCACCACACGTCCATTACCCGCCCACTGGGGGAGGATCGTGTCTCTGTTACCTTATGGTTTTAAGGCCATGTTGCCTTTCCTCAGGTAAAGGTGGGAGAGAACACCAGAAATTTGGAAGTTGAAGGAAACTTAAAGACCCATGAATTGTACATTCCTGGCTGGGCAGGTGGGCGCCAAGCCAGAACTGGAACCTAGGCGTTCTGGTTCTGTCCGCTTTGCCGGCCCTCAGGGTGCCTGAGGTGGGAAAGATGAGCAAGACAGGGGCACAGGTCAGCCCACCTTGACTCGAGCCTTGAAGTCCATGCTCTCACGGGCTTGATTCCTCCATCTTTTGTTTTAGGACGTTAATTCTAGTGGGCAGCTATTTGTTTAACGCTGGGTGTGCTTTGAGGGAGGATTAAGGTATTGTTAATCATTTGCAAATTAGTGTTGTAGTGAATTAATAAGAGCTCATTCACTTTGCTTTTTAATGCCAACTGAAGCCAGATGTTCTGAAAGAACAGGGAACTGTGCTTGGGATGGCGGAAGGAGGCAATGGTGGAGAGCCCCAAGTCCGCCCTCTGCGAGGCCCTTTGCCTGCTCCTTCTGCTGGATAGAGCAGATCTCACCCATCTGTGCAGGTAGCTTAAAGACTCCTGGGGCCCCGTAATGGGGCCCCCAGTGTTCTTCTTTCTTTTGGAATGTACCATGCCAGATGCCAGCCTAGACCCCTGGTTGGCAGATGAGTAAGTGCATGCCTTGTCATCCTTGGGGAAGGAAGAGCGTCTGTCCCCACTATGGTGACACTGAGGAGGCCAGGGTGGGTGTGGCTTATCCTAGTGCTGCTTCAGCGTTTTTATTCATTTTTTTTCCTCTAAGGAAGTTTTCGTTAAGCTTAATTGCACCGTCCTGACACAGCTGTTGGCGTTTGCTGTGTCCCTTCCAGTGTTTCCCCACCGACGCAGCTTCGCGCTGCTCTGTGTACAGGGGATTGATTCTGAACAGTTTGCTTAGTGTTTTGTCGAAAGCTTTTCCCCGTGTTTCTGCACAATACTGCGGGCTGCTGTGTTTGCCCAGCTCCTGGGTGTTAGCTTACGTTCTCCCACGGGAGCCTGCTCTGACCCTCTGACACTCCCAGCATTTGTCACCGGTGCTGGTTTCTTAGGCTCCGTTTCCTGGAGTGAGATCACCGGGTCAAAGGGCACGAACGTTTTAAGGTTCTGGAAGTATAATGCCGATTGTTGTAGGACTCTGAAGCCTTCCTTGAGAACCGCCAGATGAGACCCCATCCCTGCTTCCTCCGAGTTTACCACTGCCACCTCCCCGCTGTGCTCACCTCGGGCCAGTGCACCTGCCCTCCCCCTGGGGCCCTGGTCGTGGGCCCTCATAGCGGGCTGGTCCCCCTCCCCCGCTCCCCTTCCCGGGTGGCTGTGAGGCGTGCAGCCTGGTGACTGGCACGGGGGCGCTCAGGAAGGATGACGGCCCCGGCTGCAGCGTCCTGGGAGAGGGGTTTAATAAACTCTGTCACAAACGTACATACCGGGTGTGCGGTGTGCAGCTCCTGCACTTAATTCTGCCCCATCTCCACAGGGCGCCTGGCTCTGGAGCAAGTTGCCATGCTGCCTTTTCTGGAACTCCTGGGAGGGGTGGGGGGTGAGGGGTGGGCACTCACAGTCTCCTTTCATTTCAGGGCTTCTGGGGAGATTGTGCAGATTTATGATTAAAGTTGTCTGGACGACAGCCAGGGTTTGCTGTGATTTAGAAATGTTTTAAGACGTTGCTGTCATTATAAAGTTGTGCATCCTGAAGTGGGGGGAGGCGGGGGCTTGGGCTGGGAGAGGTGGAGCTGGCCTCACTTCAGAATTTTCTTAAACTGTACTTTTCTGTTTTAGTGAAGGTACAGTGTTTTTAGATAAGGGACGAAAGTGCATTTTTCTATTCTAAGAAATAGAAATAAATTGACTAAATGTTTATATTTTTCTTATGAAGTAAAATGTTTTTATAAAAGTATTAAGAGAATGCAGGAAATTACTTTTCCTTTAAATAGCATTTTTAAAGGGTTTGCCCTTGCTTCTAAGTGAGATTTCATTATAACTAACTTTCCAACAAAATATGGTGACCACTTGTCCTGTGAAATTCAGTGAGAAATGGGAGCAGCTCCACAGTGTGCCCAGCCGGTGACCCCTGAACACTCGTACTTACTGGTTGGATGTGATTTAGTTTTGACTTTAATTCAGTATAGCCACACATTGGACAGTATAGTTCTAAACACTTATATTTAAGGCAAATGTTTTTCAACTTTAGGGCTCTTTGGGGAGTTAATTTTCTACCGTTAGCTGAGTCACTTGATTTAATTTAAAAATCTGTTTTCTCAAATACCTTATCTATTGTAGAAACAAAAAATCTACCAGATTTCAGTTGGTTGAATGAATTTGGGAAATAGGAGAAGAATTGATTGTCTTTGACTTTATATATTTTAGGAAAGTGTTTTTCAAATGCCTTTTGGTATGTTTTGGGAGTAGAAAGATTCCTAGAGCCTTTTACTTTTCCACGGGTGTTGCCCGCTGTCCGCCCTTAGGATGCTACGTTCCCCGAGATTCCTGGGTCTCCGGGATACCTGCGGCGGACCACTCACCCTGGGAGAGTTGGGACAAGGAAAGAAGCTGCAGCTTTGTAGTCTTCATCACTAAGCAGGCAGTGAGTTTCAGCCTGGTCCCCATGGTGGTCCTGAGCCTGGGACTACACCACCAGGTCTGATCCTTTGCACAGGATGACCATGTGACAGTGTTGCTTGGGGTAAACGTTCACCTTTACTTCTGTCCCCATATGCTGAGTGCTCTAGCGTGTATAATAACTAGCAGATCTGTGGGTGAAGGGTAACGCTTGGCTTTTCTGTAAAAAAAAAAAATCCTTTTTATTATTTTACCTATTTGACATATTTCTACTTTGAAGAAATTATTTGGTTTTACCGAGGTGGCTGGCTTCTGTCTCCTGCTTTGACACTTGTTTATTTTCCTCTTCTATCCCTGTTTCTTCTCCCTTTTTTCCCTCAGAATACTGTTACGGAGATCAGCTGGCATTGTGTATTTTTAAGCAGGACAATCTTTGAGTATGACAAGAAATGGGCAGTTAATTTGCAGTTTAGATGGGATTATAGTCACTGACCAGGAGATGGCTCCCACGGAGCTTGCTCTCGGGAGCGGGGTGCCACACCCTTTTTATGGTTCTTTGATTCTTTGGCTCTTTTGGGTGTCTCTGCATCTGGGATCTGCAGGTTCTGCACAGCGGCGTCTACATGGGCGCTGTGGCGGGCGGGCTCTGACCACGTGCTCCTCTCGCTTGCACAGGTGGCCCAGAGCATCGAGGACCACCATCAGGAAGTGATCGGTTTCTGCAGAGAAAACGGCTTCCACGGCTTGGTCGCCTACGACTCCGACTACGCGCTGTGCAACATCCCTTACTACTTCAGTGCCCACGCCCTCAAACTGAGCCGGAACGGGAAAAGTCTCACCACGAGCCAGTATCTGATGCACGAGGTCGCCAAGCAGCTGGACCTGAACCCAAACCGCTTCCCTATCTTTGCTGCTCTGTTAGGTAGGTGGGCAGTGTGAAAACTGCTTCGTTTGATAGGGTTCTATGCTGGGAACACACTGATATATATATATATATATATATTTTTTTTTTTTTTTTTAAGGTTTTGTTTATTTATTTGACAGAGAGACAGCGAGAGAGGGAACACAAGCAGGGGGAGTGGGAGAGGGAGAAGCAGGCTTCCCGCGGAGCAGGGAGCCCGATGCGGGGCTCGATCCCAGGACCCTGGGACCATGACCTGAGCCGAAGGCAGACGCTTAACGACTGAGCCACCCAGGCACCCCGCACACTGATATTTTTAAATGTCAGTGCTGGAATGTTGTGGAGTGTGCCCCTCCTCAGTGGTGTTCCTTACTCAGTATTATTTTTTGGTGTCGCTGATAATGTGCTTCTTTTGTTCTTAAGTATTCGTTTATGTGTTGTTCTTTCCGGGGCGGAAAACTAATTTTGTGAATAAATTCACTAATACTTTGGGGAAAATGGTATTTTAAAATCACAAATGTTAAGCACATCCTCACTATGAAAATTAGACATTTAACCCTTTGTCATAAGTCATGTTTGTTAGAGAAGAAAATGTGTTGTGAACTCAGCTCTGTCATGGGTTCTTGTGTGTTGGGGACACTCACTGCTTTGAAAGAAAAACAACAAACATAAGCTACCTTAGCTCACCTCCAATACCTGCATTTTAGATGTCTAGAAACTCCCTCGGAGGAATTCCTCATGCTGGATACCTAGAAGAGATGAAATCTTGTTTTGATTGAAGTTTTATATATTAATTCATTTCATGTAAAAACGACTTTCCAATAGTTATATATTCATCTATCACTTTTGTTTGCATTTTGCAGTTTTTTCTTTCTTTTCTGTTCATTCCTGGTTTTGTGCTTATAGTATGCACGTTTAAAGCTACTTGGACACCCAGCTGTAGTGGCTGGTTTTGTAAGAATTGGGCCCACAGTGTGAATGGGCGTTCTCCAAGCTGGGCCCTCCTGGGATCGCAGCCCAGGGGCCGCAGTGGCGGGTGGGGGGGCCGCTAGGGACAGGCAGGCCCTGTTTGAATGCTCCGTGGTCTCCAGATAAGTGAGATCTTACTGTGTTCTCCATTTGTCTTCTCTGAAATGTGTAGGATGGCAGTCATATTGTGAGCTGTGTTTAGATGTTTCTACTTATCAGATTTTATAAACATTCCAAAAAGTTTTTACACAGTTAGAAATTACACTGAGGGAGCCACAATTTTTTTTGTGTTGTATTTGGTGATAGCATTTCAAACTGTGTAACCACCAATCCGTCAGCAGTTCTGATTTTGCAAATTATCCTTGCTTGAATCTCACCTTAACTATGTGTTTGTTAAGCACGTGGCTGTTTTCTGTCCATTTGGACTTGGGATTTGGAGAATTAAAACCAATTTTCTAAATACACTTTCATATTTTCAAATATTAAAATATAGAAGGTATTTTCTCTGATGTTAAAAGTGATTATGTAAATGGAGATATTGTGAAAAGTTTCCTATTTACCTAAATGTTACACAAAATGACTTCGACATATTAATTGACCTTAAATGAACTGGAAAATTGTATGCTTGCAGAATATCGGGATTCCCTAGCTAATTTGAGATATGGAGGATATTTGTTTATTGTATTTGAGAAATGTTGAATATATTTCTTAGGAGAGAGTGCAAACTCTGTACTCTTTCTTCTAGCTAAATTACCCTGTGAAGTCTTAAAATGAGTGAAAAACAATAGTTACATTTTGAATAATAATGAATTTAGGGCTTGGAATTTCTTTAAAAATTTCAGACGAGTTACAGGTAAAGTCTTAATTGGGCGAGCATTTTTATTTTAGATTTTGTGTAAAAGTTTCAGTGTCCTCAAATGGGAAAGATTATTTTTCTTTTCCTTTTCCTTTTTGTAAAGGGCAGTGTAGTTATATGAGTTACTTTGGTTTAGAGAGGTTGGGTAGAATATTCAGTTAAGTATGTGACCCAGATTTTAATAGACTATTACTGATGTTGGAATTGGCCTCATATTTTTTCAGATAGAAGCTTCAAAAAAAATCTAAGATGCATCATACTTCACAGTAAAGTTCTGTGCACCTGTGAACCCAGGAAGGCAGTGCAAAGCTCAGTAAGACAGTGAGGATGTAACTTTGCTCCTCTGGAATTCATGGCAGTTCAGCGCTCATGTGTCGAGTACTTTCATGTTTAGAGTATTAAGATTAATTAATTAATTAGTAACTAAGAAATCACTTTTTTTTTTTTAAGATTTTATTTATTTGAGAGTGAGAGAGCATGCACAAGCTGGGGGGCAGGGGCATTGGGAGAGGGAGAAGCAGACTCCCCCCTGAGCAGGGAGCCCGATGCGGGGCTTGATCCCAGCACTCTGGGATCATGACCTGAGCTGAAGGCAGACACTTAACCAACTGAGCCACCCAGGCGCCCCGAACTCACCTTGTTTTGCTTTCTCTTAGTAGTTAATTAATAAATCTGCCTTCTCAGTGGGGAGGGGACTAAATCATGATCTAAAAATCACAGGATTATTCAGGAACTTGACACTTTTAAATTGCATCGAGAGAACTAGCACACTAATGATGTTGGCATGTTGGCATCCAAGTGCTACAGTGAAGGGAGAGTGTTCCCCAAATTACAGTTTCTCAGCCTAATGCAGTTCTTGTTTTTGATGCAGCCCTGGTGATAGGGCGTCCAGCCGAGTGGCATTCCTGGTGCTGGTGTGGTCTGTGCTTCGTCATCTGTGGGTGATGGTGGCAGTGATGGGAGGAGGTGTGACCCATGTCACAAGTCACGTAACCGTGCTTAGAGAGATTCTGGAAGTGCGCGGTCTGCCTCTGCTGTGGAACCTGGGGTTTGAAGCCTAGGGTCTCGTGAGCAAACGAAACCCAACATCCCAGCATTGTCAGACTGACCTTAGCACTGTCGAGCGAAGTCACTTCAGTTTTATGCAGTTTGTGCCGTTGTACTGCTGTTGGAACTGTCCTGGAAGCTCCTGTCGTGCTGAGGCAGCTGCAGGAGGTCTGCCTGCTGTCTGTTGCTTTGTATGAAAAGATGAAGATGTATTTTCAGTGTTTGTGTGGAGGTTTTATGGGTATGTCAAAGGAGACGGTCCTAAGTTACCGCAGCGTCTAACACGAAGCCCCTAGGGACCTGCGGATGGTGGTGTGCAGCGTCAGTGATGTGCTGTTTCTCACTGTGCCGTGTCTGTGTTGCAGGGAATCACATCCTGCCCGACGAAGACCTGGCCTCCTTCCACTGGAGCTTACTGGGCCCAGAGCATCCACTAGCCTCGCTGAAGGTACAAGTGCACTTGGTCTCCAACGCTGGTGACGGTCAGCTGTTGAGTTTGCTGCTGCGTAGTGATGTGAATGATGTTCCGTTACTGTAGAAGGAGACAGGCTGCAGAGTGAGCGATACCACGCCTCCCCTAACTGCACCGTCAGCACTGCCTGGACAGACCCACAAACTGCCTTATCTTGTTCCCAGCACTTAGGCTTTAGTGAGATAAATGAATGTCCTTAAGTGTCTCCTTAGAGGCATTCATGCTGTGTTCCTAGGTAGGTGGAAATCTTTTAGCTAGAGGTTTTTTACATTGTTTTACAAATCCTAATATTTTTAATAGGTAATACAGTCAGCTGTTACTTGGATCGTGTCTTAGCATAGTTTGATAAATTTCATAATGTTCTATACTTTTCTAAAATTATAAAAGTCTAATTAATAATTAAGGTTTTAGTGTTTGGGTGATGGAGGGGACCCAACCAAGTTCATTAGAGAAATGTTCCCTTTATACTGTTTTATTAACACTTTATATTTTTATCTTTCTTGCCTTCCTGTTGTGAAAGTGAGGAGCGTTGGAAACATGCACGGTTTTCTAAAGCGGGAGGGCCGTGGGGACGCCTGCCTGGCGTGTACTGGCCAGCAGCCTCCTGGGACTCCGAGTCCCCTTTGCCGTGACCACAGTCGCTCTTGGGGGCGGATGGGAAGTCTGTCGGGCAGCCTGGGCCTTGGTTCCTGTAGCGAAGGGGCTGCTTGGGATGGTTCCCAGGGGTACTTCTGTGAAATTCTGTCTCCTGTCAGATTGACCCTCCCGCTGTAAACTGTCTTCTGTGGTGGTTAGTTTCAAAGCGGATTTTGTGTGTAACTTGGCGTGAGCTTTGGAGAAACCGGATCATTCAAGCGCATCTCTTTCCTGCCTCTTTCCTCTGGCTCCTTGCCCCCTGGGCCCCTCCTTTCTGGCGTGCTGGCTGTCAGGAAGCTTTCCTTGTCCTTCTAACACTTCTCAGGCCCGGGGTTTTCAACTTCTCCTCTTGTTAGAAGCTACTTGTTTTCTTTGTGTTTTTCATCCTTGAAGGAGAGAAGCTTTCTTCCTGCTCTTGGCCATAGTGTCATTCCTGTGTCCTCATGGATGAAAGTGCTGCCGTTTGTGGTCCTGCCGGTCCACTGCTGATGTGCAGCCTGAAGGCAGGTGCGCTTGCATGAGGTGTTGTGCTCATTCGGTTTGCCTGGCAGTGAGCTTTTGTAGGTGGGATGAAGGGAAGGCTGGCTTCTTACAAGGGTCAGGCAGTTTTGGGTAGCAGCGGAGAGACTCCCGAGACCCCAGACCACACGTGCATTTCAGCCGAGCTGGCTTTGGTCACGCGTCAGACATTAGACAGCAGCACTGTCGGTGGGGTTATTGGGGGACCAGCTCAGTCTCCTGGCAGGTCACTAACACCATTAGCATGTGCTTTTCCTCACTTTGTTTAAGAGAAATATTACGTACGTGGAAAGTTGAAATAGACCATGTCCATCCATGTATCTGCTTGGTTCCACAGTTAACATTTTGCCATAAAGTATATTTATATTTATCTTTGTTTTTTAACTCCACTATTTGGAAGTTAGTTGCAGACATCCTAACACTTCACCTGTGAAAACTTCGGTTTATGTCACGACCCCCTAGAAATAAGGCTAGTCTCTTCCTTACTCATACTACTGTTAGCAAACCGAACTACATCAGCAGTAGCCCCTACGTTCTATAAGGTCAGGTTCATGTTCACATTTTTCACTTGTTCCTGCAAGTCATTTAAAGTGTGTGTGTTGTTTTTTTTTTAAGTCAGGATCCAATCAGGTTTTTTGTATTATCATGTGTATTGTAAATATCAGCTGGGGGTTTTTGTGGGTATGATGCAATAATTTTTCTGCAATAATTTTTCAATGACTTGATAAGTTCTGGGTGTTTCAGAGTCACGGTCTAAAATGCAAGCGCATCTGGCTTTGAGTTCAGATACTGCACAGTGTCTGTGTTTTGGCCTTTTATGCACACGTCCTGTGTGCAGCATCATTTTGGCATTGTGGCAGATGTGGGGAAGTCGGACATGATGGTGTCCTTTCTCATGAACATCCCTGCTGTGTCACACTGTTCCTATCCTGTCTGCTTTACCCCGCTCTTAAAAGTAACCACATCTTTTGAAAATTTGGTTAGTTGTGTGTGACACTTTCTTGTGATTTTTAACAGTTTGTGGTATACACAGCTTTCACAGGCATCTGATTCATGTCCCCAAGTGCAGGTGTTCCTCGCCCTTTCTTGTCCTACTGTGTTGCCTTTTGCCAAAGTCACTCCCGCTGGATTGCTGTTCCCAGAAGGTGGGTGTTCTGTGAACTCCTTACGTGATGAGCCCGCAGCACCCCTTGCCATGGAGGGGCCTTCACCCTCTCCGCAGCGACCTCCTTGCCCACAACTGCAGGTGGGTGCAGAACAGTGCAGACAGCCAGATCGAGGGGTGATACCTGCAGACAGTGGGCAGGGAGGGGAACAGACTCTGTGTGCCGTGCTGTTACTCAGGGTTGTGCTCACTGGGGTGGGAGGGCAGTGCTGGACACACTTAGAACCTAAAATCTCACAACGGTGGTAGAAAAGAGGCGATGTTGAGCTTTTTAGTTCTTCACTTTCTATGGGAAGAGGTGCTGGTAAGGTGGCATCAGATGTCTTAGGTTTGATTCAGAAGTAAAGAATATTTCATTTGTGTTCAGGACAGCAGGCAGCCATGTTATGTGATGGAAAATTCTAGAACTGGGGGCGGGGCCTTTGGGGGCATGGGGTGGTCAGCCCTGGTGGGAACACCTCCTGGCCATAAGCACATGCTGAGTGAGCTCCCTTTTTAAAGGTGCTTTTTGGGTTTTTATTGCTCTATGATTTTGAGTCCTAGTAAGTGGTAGAATTTTTATTTTGGATAGGCATTTAGTTTTAATTTTAAAAATGTTTTTAAGTTGGACCATTAGTTATAGGTCTTTGTATTCATTTTAATGGCTGTTCCTAAACTTCATGTTCAGTTTCATGCATTTGGAGTTTTTATCCCCATCAGTGGTTCTGACCGCCGAGCATCTCCTGTCACGGAGCCCCTTGTCCACCTGTTGTTTGGGCATGCCCCCTTGCAGGTCTGTGCCGGCCTTTCCTGTCCCTAGACCTCCTGGGGCACACACGCACACCTGGTGCCCCACCAGCGACCTCTGCATTGTAAGCACTACAAGGCGGCTCAACCAGAGACATTTCCCTTCTTTTTTTTTTTTTAAGATTTTATTTATTTGCGAGAGAGACAATGAGAGACAGAGAGCATGAGAGGGAGGAGGGCCAGAGGGAGAAGCAGACTCCCTGCCGAGCAGGGAGCCCGATGCGGGACTTGATCCTGGGACTCCAGGATCATGACCTGAGCCAAAGGCAGTCGCTCAACCAACTGAGCCACCCAGGCGCCCCGACATTTCCCTTCTTGACACGAACCATGTGTGGGACCAGAAAGATATGTGATAAAGCTGGGATTTGCCGGGCATTTACTCCAAAAGTGCCACTTGCTTAGAAAGCTTGTTTTTCTTTTTTATTGAGTTATAATTCACATGTCATAAAATCTATCTTTTCAGAATATACAGTTCAGTGATTTTTAGCTTTCACAGAGTTGTGCAACCATCACCACTGTCTAATTTGGAATATTTTCATCACCCCAAAAGAAACCCAGTGCTTATTGGCAGTCATTCCCCGCTTTTCCGCCTCCCTGCCCGTGGCAACCACTGATCTACATCTGTCTCTGGACACTTGATATAAGTAGACTTACGTGTCCTTTTTTGTCTGGTTTCTCTCACGAGCGTAACTGCCTGGTTCATCCATGCGGGAGCAGCTGTTGGTGCTCACTCCTGTTTCTGGCAGGAGGACACTGTTGCCCTGGGGGCGGACTCAGCTGGTGGACATTCACATTGTGCCTACCATTTGGCCGCCGTGAGCATCTGTGCCCACGTCTGTATGGACTTCCCTTTCTGTCAGGCATGTGCCTGGGGCCAGAGTTGCTGGTCCTGCTCGCCTTCTCGTGGAGCCACCGGAAGGCTTCCTGTGGGGGCTGCCCTGCTCCCACTCCCAGCAGCAAGTGTGTGAGGGTTCTGATTTCCTCACATCCATGCCAACACTTGCTATTGTCTGTTGTATTTTCAGCCGTCCCAGTGGGTGTGAGGGGGTTTTGATTTGCATTTCTCTGATGAGTAATGGTGTTGAGCATCTTTTCCTGTGCTCGCTGACCATTCATTTATCTTCTTTGGAGAAATGTCTGTTCAAGTCCTTTGTCCATTTTAAAATTGGGTAATTTGTCTTTTTATTATTGAGTTGTAAGGGCTTTTTTTAGTTTTTGTGTTTTTGTTTGTTTTGTATTCTGGATTCTGTCTCTTAGCAGACACATGATCTGCAAATACTCTCCCCAATTCTGTGGGCTATGCTTTTCCTTTCCTGATGTGGCTCTTTGGTAACTCTGAAGAGTTAGGCCATCTAAACACCACCTCCCACCCTCCTAGTGGCTGTACTCAATCACTTTTTGTCACTTGGGAAAGCCTTGGGGACCTTGCCAGTCTTCCCCTTTACCTTTCAGAGCCCTTGGGAGCTCTGTGCACTGGGGCTGCCAGACAGCTTGGCTGCACGTCCTTCGCCTCCTGTTAGGTCTGCGGTTGGCCCTGCTGGACCACGGCCTCCTGGGCCCAGCGGCCTGCCCTGGATCTCCTCTCAGAAGAGCTCCATCTCCCCTCGTAAACTTCCCTACCCCTCACCCTCTGTCACCAGTGCCACCTTCTGCTGGTGCTAGTTCTCAGTGTGGACACTTGCTGCTGGGCCTCTGGGGGCTCTCTGCTCACCTCCTCTCATACCACCCTGCTGGGGCACCCTCTCAAGCTGGTTATGCCAGCACCAGCTGCCTCGGGCTCCCCATCAACCCCCTGCCCAGCAAACCCTCCTCCCTCGATGGTGCTGCACTGTCTCTTCGTGAGAACTGCCCACCTGAGCAGATGGCGAAT